GGGCTGTGATAGTGCACGGCTTTGGTACTTTTTTTTTTTAAGTTCCCAAGTGTGCAGCTCTGGTGCTTTCCTCTTCGTTTCTTCTGAAAGGCTCCTGTGCAGATAGTGAGGCCAAGGTGTGCCAAAATACGACCAGACTCCTACAAGACTATCGTCCATTTGTGTACTGATCGATCCAAAAGCAAGGCGCCACACTGGCTGTAAAATTATTTTTTTTAAATAGGTGTTTAAGCCGCCATCGACACAATTTGGATCATTTAGGAGGCTGGTTTCGTCTATGCCTGTAATGGCAAACCCGGACTGAGAGAGGTACACAATCCCAGCAAAAAGGCCGAGATACTCGATAAAAAATTCTCCTAAAACGGAAATCGAGAGATACAGAGAGAAAGATAGGGGGAGAGAGAGAGAGAGAGAGGGGGGGGGAGAGGGAGTGAGAGAGGGAGAGAAAGTGGGAGAGAGAGGGGAGAGAGAGGGGAGAGAGAGAGAGAGAGAGAGAGAGAGAGAGAGAGAGAGAGAGAGAGAGAGAGAGAGAGAGAGAGAGAGAGAGAGAGAGAGAGGAAGAGGGCGATGCGGGTCACCCCCACTTAATCCTCTAATACTGTCGCCGTAAGAAGCTTGCTCAGCGTAAAGAAGATGAAAAACAGGGATCCCCCTGTGTGACTGCTATGTATCCCTGAGCACTTTACATTCATGACGGATTCCGCACAAAGCACCCTCCCGGCAGGCATGGGTCAGTTGAAAAGGTCATGACATCATTTTAAGCTGGACAGGCCCCTAGGATCTGAGCAAGACGGGGAAGATTAAGCAATAGGGGGGAGGCGACGGCTACAGTAACGGCCAACAGACCCCAGAAATGCCATTGTTATAACGCATTGGGCTTGCCTTTTTCTGCAGACCCCCTCCCCTTAAAAAAAAAAAACAGAAACAAAAACAAACCAAAAACTAAGTATCCTATTCAAAAGACAAAAAGAAGAACAAATGAGCAGCATTCAACATCATTGCTCAATTGAAGATTACGACAACATTTCGGGGGGAAACAGATAACATCAACTACATCATGTATAAGTTTGTAAGATTGAATACAACAGCAAATTGTAATGGAGCGCCCAACTACCCACATGTACTTACACTGACACAAGCCTAAATTTTGCTTTCAGAGAAAAATGTTATGTATTCAATCAAATGAGACCATGTCGAGTGAGCTTCAAAAACAGAAATTTCCCAGGGGAATTAAAATCAATGCACTCACTAAAACAGTGATGAGTGGGGATGAACCATTTCATATCTCAGTGGTACAGTGCTAAAGTTGTTCCTGCATCCGATTCGGACATTGGGGTTTGCCTAGTTAGTGAGACAACTCTTCCTGGGCCTTCGGCATATTGTGGTAGGGTGGCCAGTTTCTTTCCAGGCCGCCTTTACTTCCCCAACTCGAAATCAGGTACCCATTACTGCTGGATGGGCAGGAGGGGGCAAAATAAATCAGTGTCCGAACCAAGGCTCAAACCCGGACTTTCCACTTCAGAGACGAACGCATGTACAGTACTACAGGCGCAAAATGTCTAGTCTACTAAGTAGTTAGAGGATTAAAGTTTCAGCTTGAGCTTGCGTGTATTATCATACTGGTACACTTTCCATTACGGGAGACAACATCATCTCTTTTGCCTCTTGTACCAAATATATCTTGGCTTGTGGTTTAAAATAGTCTTGTGCCACTAGTCCTTTTAATAACGTAGCCACAATTGTATCAAAAACACTGGCCACTGAATGACAACGGATGCAAAGCCAAAGAAAGTTTTTATGCCTTCTGATAACAATTTGGTACTGAGTGGATCCTATTGTCATAAAAGTGACCTTTTCCACCTTGCTTGCTTTTTTAGAAATGTTCATTCATCTTCTCATTCTCCGGCACCAAAGCACAGAGATTGTACAAAAATATTCCTCTGAATTAAGACATAGTTCAAACAGTCCCCCTAAGAGATTCTTTCACTAGATACATCTTCAGTCCACTGTTTTATATATTATATGCAAAATATAACAATTTACAACAGGACAGAAACACAAAGAACAGCTGAAAGAGAGACAAAAACCTAAGTCATCACCAAGAACATTTTTTTTTCAAAAGCGATGAAAAGGCCATTGTCCGAGTAGGTTACATTACAAGAGAAGTGTGAGTAATTAGAAATGAAAAGGTGAAGAGTACAAGCAAGAAGAGAAGAAAACCATCAGCAGACGATACAATACGGCTTTAAGATCAACAGGACCTGCTGTGCCTTCCAAACGTTTAAAAAAATAACTTACAAAAGACTGCAACAGAGGAGCATATAAAACCAAAGCAGAAAGTAAGAGTGAATTTCAGGAACCAAAACAGGGCTCCCCTGTTCAGGCCAACTTATAAGATTCCTTCACCCTTTGGTTTTCTATCTTAGGGGTATTTAAGCACTTGTTTTAGAAATTTATAAGAGTAGTTAGTTTTTCCTGTTCATGTCTGACAAACTAGTCCCCAAAAGACAATTATCTACTAATTTTATTTTTAAAATGTTTGCATCAAGTAAACATTTAACTCACACGCATATATTCATAGACACACACAGCAGAGTGACCATGACTATGATTGAATGCTAACGGTTTTTAATAAACTGCAAGGTTTCATTGTAACATTAACAAAAAGTAAATGAGCAATATTGACTAGAATCATAGTTGTGTCGACTTAGAGGGGGGGAGGGGGGTGGTGGTAATCTATTTATTAAGACTAAATTAGAGGCAAGGTTAGGGTTAGGGTTAGGGTTAGGGTTAGTATTACAACTCTTTCCGTTAAATTCGAATTATTTTTTATACTGTTCGTTTTTGTAAAAATGGCGGACAATTCACGATTACTACAGTTGAAGAAGGATAGGGGTAATCTTACAGCTGGGGTAAACTCAAGGTACGAAAACGAGAGACAAGGATGTGGGCGGAGCTTCTATACTAAAGCAAGCCACTGTCGCCAGAAACCGCGCAGAAGTAGGTCGACTGCTTCTGACACAGACAAAAGGTGATCTATAGCCGTTTATATGTGTGGGTGTGTTGTCAAATCATTGACTCAGCTTTGCATAGAGAAGGGGGAAAATTATGCTTGCCAGATGCACACCACCTACATTTTAAAGTGTATCATGCACAAACCCAAGAAACGAAATTTTAAAGAAAAACTCTCACGCACAAACAAAACTTACTTAAAGGGATTAATCTGCAGGTTTACTGCGTAATATGCACATCTGTGCGTAATGGGGAGCCCTGCTAAAATTCGAAACTCTCCAAGAACATACCTGGTTATCAATTTTATGTCATCATATTAACATTCCACATCGGAGATTTAATAATAATTCCATTAAATATCCTGCAAGTTTGAATGTGTGTCAAAGCCAATTTTATTAAACCTTAAAGTCTGTCCCAACAGACAAACCTGCTTTAACGGCTGTAGTAGTTTATCCTGACAATCACCTCCAGTACAAACTGCCACTTTTATTTCCTCCCTTGCGTGTATTCTTTACATTATAATAAATAATGACACAGTGAAAGATGGCCACTGGTCCAATATGAGTAGCTTTTCTCCTCAACAATGGGTGACCATCTTTTAGTTTCTTCTCTACATCTTACACAACAGCATTTACCAAGTTAGATTTAAACCCTGAAAAAGTAAAATCATGAAGTAGGTTGACTTGTGGTTAGGCTACTGGACTAGTACTAGTAAGATTCGTGAGGTTGCAACTTCAAGGGTTCAAGGCTGCAGGCCAGACGTTGTGTCCTTGGGAAAAGCACTCTATACACAAATTTTCCTCACTTTATCCACGTGGGAATGGGCACCCGGCCATAGACAGCGAAAGATCTTTTCAGTAGCCTATGTTTGTGTTTTAGCACCAAATTATTATAGATAGCCACTTGCACTGTACATGTGTATGCTTCCCAGGAAGTTGAGATTGTTTAAAAGAATGCTCTGAAGTCTCAAGTCTGCTGGGGCAATGGTAGGCCCTATCTGTAGATTGTGAAGCACATAGATATCTAAAAGTACTAGATCTATGAGTAATGACATGAAATTACCAACGATGCCTGGAATGGAGATTAAGGAAGAGCTTTACGGTAAGATTGAAGAATACCGGACCAGCGGACTGACTTTGCCTATGTCTCAACCTTAGGAATTCATAATTTTCCCGTTTTTAATATCTCTCAATGGAGAATCTCGGACCAATAGATCTATTCATTAAAATTTTGTCAGGGGGGAGATCCCCCTGAACCCCCCCTCCCCCCTCCATCACCCCAACCACCCGCCCCACCTACCCCACTTTCTCGCGCAATAATGTACGAGTGGTCCGGTATTCTTCAATCTTCCCAGCTTTACTTAAAGAAGGCTGAGTTTGAGCAACTCGGGTAGGCTTAGGCCTAGATTCTTGTTAGGATGTGGTACACCAGGGACTAGACTACGAATGACTTATAGATAGAGAGGGACAGGACAGGGTATAGGGACGTTAATATGGATCACCCAATATAATTATAAAACTTAATAGGCTTCTAGAATCTAGATCTGGAGATACGGTCAAACCTGAGTAAGAAGGCCACCCATTGATTGTCAAGGAGAAAAGTGGCCGTATTTATATATATAAAGTAAGACAGGTGGCCGTTTAAGGCACTGATCAAGATGAAGAAAACAAACCATTCCCACCTGAGTTCCTAATCGAAAGTAGCCGCATTGCTGTTGTTTTTGTTATTGTTGCTGTTGTTGGTTTATATTTTGTTTAGATCTAGATCTAGATCTAGATCTAGATCTAGATCTAGTTCTTGATATATCTAGAATCTAGACTCTAGTCTTGAACATCAAAATCAAATGACACACACTGATCATGATCACTGACTAATGATTGCACTAAAACTAAAGTCAACGAAACTTCTTGAAATCATCAGAATTTATATGAAAAATGAATAAATCCTTGAAGTGGTGAAATAAAATTGAAAGAAAGTGAAAGACTCACGTTATATGGCAGATCCCAGAAAACAGACAATTCTGGCAGAGCAACTCCATAGGCTGACAGTAGAAAAGTACACACAACAACACTCCTCTCCCCCCGACTGCTTTCGCTCTCGCTTCCTCCTTGAAAGTGTACACAGGATTCAGTGATGTCACACGTTAACTTCCTGTTGTGTTTTATTCAACAAGTACGCTAAAACAAAGATGACGGAAATAAATAATATTATTACTCCTCTGACAGTTTCGTTTCATTAGCGTAGATCTAAAAAAAAATGCGATGTAATAATTTATTGCATTGGGAGATTGGTCACGTTTATCAGTAGAGGAATAGAAAAGAAACTAGAAACAGGAAGGGGTGGGATTTTTTTTTATAAGCTAGCGTAAAGCGAATAGAGAAAGAGAGCATGGCGAGAAATAACTGTATTATGTTATATAATATAGCCTTATTTTATGCCTTATAGACTACTCATGACTGATGCAAACCACGCATGCA